AAAATAGGTCCACAACTGCGGTTAGTGTGATGACCCTTGGGTCATCACCTGTTTTCTTATTCATTCCGTGCGTCCGAGGCCTCGAAAACCTCATTTAGGGTTGTCTCAAATTGCGTGCGCAGTCTGGGCGCGTAGCCGGAAAGCTTAAATATGAATTCTGTGTGAAAAATGCTAAATTTTGATATTAATATGAGAATATTTGACTTCGGTCAATATTTTTGGTAAACGGACCCGGACACGTGATTTGACGGTTCCGGAGGGTCTGTAGAAAAATATGGGACTCGGGCATATGCCCGGAGTCGAATTCCGAGGTTTAGAGCCCGAGAAATGAATTTTTCTGTGAAATTATTTTTCTGAAATTATTAAGGAAATTGGAAATGGAAATTGATTAAAAGACTGTGGTATCGGGCTCGTATTTTGGTTCCGACGCCCGGTACAAGTCTTATATATGGTTTAAGCGATTTCTGTAAAATTTGGTTGAAAACGGACGTCGTTTGACGTGTTTCGGACTCGAAATGGAAATTTGATGCTTTATGAACATTTCAAAGAAAAACATGAGTCTTGAGGCTTGATTCGATGTATATGATGTTATTTTGGCGATTTGATCGTACGGATAAGTCCGTAGGATGTTTTTGAGGTTGTGTGTATAATTGATTTGGAGCCCCGAGGGCTCGGGTGAGTTTTGGATAGGCATCGGATTGCATTTCTCACTTTAAAAAAAAATCTGGTATCAGTTATCTGCAATTTTCGCATTTGCGAAGCCAGAGTTCGCAAATGCGAATGCCCAGCTATCGCAAATGCGAAGACTGGTTCGCAAATGCGAAGCCAGCCTAGGCAGGCCAAGGTCCGCAAATGCGAAGCCAGGCATCGCAAATGCGATGGACACTGGTTCGCAAATGCGAGACCCAGTTCGCAAATGCGAAGGGTCCCTTGGGCAGCTTGAGTTCGCAAATGCGAACAATAATGTCGCAATTCCCAAGCCTGCTGGGTTCGCAATTGCGAACCCATGTTCGCATTTCCCACATCTGAGGCCTGCATTTTTCATACTTAGACTAATTTTCAACCCATTTCTTCATTCTTTCAAATCAAACACTCCATAGGCGATTTTCCAAGAAACTTTCTTCTCCAAATCATTTGTAAGTCAATTTTTACTTAATCCCTTCAATCATTTACATCATTTATCATGTTTTCATCTTAAAATCAAGGATTTTCATGGGTGAAAATGGGGATTTTGGGTAGGACCTAGGTTTTCTTCAAATTGGGGAGTTGGACCTCAATTTGAGGTCCGATTTCAAAACTAATCATAGATATGAACTCGTGGGGGAATGGGTAACCGGGTTTTGGTTCGAACCTCGGGTTTTGACCACGTGGGCCTGGGGGCGTTTTTGGAATTTTGAGTAAAACTTTGGGAAATTCATTTTCATGCATTCAAATTGATTCGATTAGCATTTGTTGATGCATTCAAGTAATTTGTGACTAGATTCGAGCGGTTTGGTGGTGAATTCAAAGGGTAAAGCTATACTAGAGGCTTGAGTTGAGTTTGGAGCATTTGAGGTAAGTGTTTGGTCTAACTTTGGCTTGAGGGAATAGGAGTAGAGTCTTATTTGTTAATTGCTATTTGTCGAGTACGGTGTATAGGCATGGTGACGAGTATCTATACACTGGTGTCGAGCATGACCGTGAGTCCTAATTTGCTAAATTATCGAATTTGTAATTGTTATTTATGAGAAATTGGTTGGAAATCTTTAACACTGAGCCAGTAATTGTTGAGACTAAGTGTGGATTTAATTGTGTTAAGTAGAGATTGAATGAGTTTGGTTATAGCTGGATCTCCCTTGCCGGGATAGTTTATTATATTACATTGCTCCCTTGCCGGGATAGTTATTATAACATCTTTCTCCCTTGCCGGGATTATGTTTTGTATTGTGTTAAAAGAAATGGGATCGTGTAGCACGCCGACCACGAGTTATTATCTTGTCGCACGCCGACCAAGAGATATTATGAAATGGGATCGTGTGGCACGCCGACCACGAGATATTATGAAATGGGATCGTGTGGCACGCCGACCACGAGATATTATGAAATGGGATCGTGTGGCACGCCGACCACGAGTTATTATGAAATGGGAACGTGTGGCACGCCGACCACGTGATATTATTGTAATGGGAGCGTGTGGTACGCCTACCACGTGATGTAAGGAAATGGGATCGTGTTGCACGCCTGCAATGAGAGGAAATTGAAATAAGTGAAAGTGGTTTGCTTTCCTTTATTCTGTGTTAGAAGAAATCAGATGTAGTTTCTTCTGTTATTCCTGATATTCTGTTTTACCTGCTTCCTCATAAGCATGTTTCCCCCTCCCAGCTTTAATTGCTTACTTTCCACTATTATTTGGTTGTACTTGTATATATATATCTGCACAGGTTTATCTGGTAGTCTGGTCTAGCCTCGTCACTACTTCGCCGGGGTTAGGCTAGGCACTTACCAGCACATGGGATCGGTTGTGCTGTTGCTACACTCTGTGCATCTTTTTGCACAGATCACAGTACCGGACCAGCAGCTTTTGTACAGCAGTAGGAGCATTTGGGAGCTGACTTCAGTCCAGAGATCCCGAGTTAGCTTTGCTGACGTCCGCATGGCCCGAAGTCTCTTCTATCCTTATTTCATTTGTTGTCCTTGTACCGGAACAAACAGTATTGTATTTTATTCAGACTCTGTCTTTAGTATTCTATAGACGTTCGTGAGTTAGTGACTCCAGTCTTGGGTAGAGGTTGTAATTGAATTTCCGCGCTTGTTTTCAGTTCATTTATATTTAAGACTTCCGCTTTTCTATTAAATGTTTCGTTGTTTTTATTAATGTCAAGGTTCGCTAAAAGAGATAATAAATAGTTGGCTTGCCTAGCTCCTAATAGTAGGCGCCATCACGACTCCCGAGGGTAGGAAATTCGGGTCGTGACAAGTTGGTATCAGAGCTCTAGGTTACATAGGTCTCACAACTCACGGACAAACTCAGTAGAGTCTGAGGGATCGGTACGGAGACGTCTGTATTTATCCCCCAGAGGCTACAGTGTTAGGAAAACTTCACTTTTGTTCTTTCTTGTCGTGCGATTCTGTTTCTCAAATATTGATTGTCCTTCTACTCTGTTCTTTCGCAGATGGCGAGAACACGTGCTTCCTCTTCTACCGCGCAGCAGCCCGAGCCCCCAGCAGCAGCTCCTATGAGGGGCAGAGGGCGAGGTCGAGGCCGTGCCAGAGGCCGAGGCAGGGGCAGAGCTCAGCCCCGAGCAGCAGTCCCAGAGGTGGAGCCTCATGTTGATTATGATGAGGAGGTTCCAGCCCTAGCAGCTCCGGTGGGCCCAGCTCAGGTCCCAGAGGGGTTTATAGCCACCCCAGTTCTTCAGGACTTTTTGGTCAGGTTGGTAGGCTTTTTGGAGAGCGTCTCTCTAGCGGGTTTGATTCCAGCAGCACCAGCCACTTCTCAGGCTGGAGGAGGAGTTCAGACTTCTGCTACACGTACTCCGTAGCAGGTAGCTCTCCAGGCTCAGGTTCCAGCGGTTCAGCCAGCTGTGGCAGTTCAGCCGGGTATTGTGACTCAGACCGGCGATGGAGCGGCTATGTCCGCAGATGCTTTGTGGAGGCTGGATAGATTCACCAAGCTCTTCACCACCACATTCAGCGGTGCTTCTTCAGAGGACCCCCAGGANTATATATATATATATATATATATATATATATATATATATATATATATATATATATATATATATATATTATCTTTTTAAAATTTTCTATCTTATCTTTAATATGTGTTTATAACTAAGTTTTTGTCCCTACCTTTATCATAAGTCCTTTTTCATACTCTTTTCAATTATTCACCCTTATCATTTAACGTAAATTCTCACGAGTTTTACCTTATTTTCTAATCTATCATTAGCAGTTTTACTTTTGAAGAAATAAAATCACAAAACAAACTAATTTGTTATTACAACAATAACAACAAATTAAGTGTAATCTCACATGTGGGTATGGGGAGAATAATGTATATGCAGATTTTATCCCTACCTTGTGGAGGTAGAGTAACTGTTTCCGATATACCTTCGGTTCAAGAACAATGAAAATAAAATAACAAACAGTAGCAACAACAATATAATAAGAACAAATGGAAACTAATTTAATTATTATATAAATAAAATAACAAATGACCTATCCTTCTCTTTTTTGTTTATGAGTAATTAATACTTTTAGGGGTCGTTTGGTTAGAAAGATGTTAACCCAGAATTAATTATTTCGGGATTAGTTATTCCATCTTTTCACAAGGATAAAAAATTACTATATTTTGGGGATAACTAATCTCGTGATTAATTATACCGTACTTTTTCTACCAACCAAATATGAAATAAATTCTTCTTAAATTTAGTCCCAAAATTAATATTTCCTTGTACCTTATGAAATCAAACGTTGTTAGAATAAATGATACTTTACGTTTCTATCATTTTGCAATTTTATTTTTATAAAAGAGAAAAGCACGGAAAAACGAAAAAAGGTGAAAGAAAGGATTCCCAAACGCTAACATCACACACAGAGAAAATGACAAAAATAATCCCTTATCTTTGACAGTAGGATTATAATGGTCCTTTAAATATACTCTTACCGATTTTAATCCTTTAAATTTAACAAAACTTAACAATTTTAATCTCCGTCCATTTCTTAACAAACCCACAAATTAAATATAACAGCCAACAAACAGCCTTTCCCCAACTGGTTTCTCTTGTCCACTTACTTTCCCAATTCCCTCTTTACAAAAACAAAAACAAATAAAACAAAGCTCAATCTGGAAAAAGCTCGTCTACACAAGGAAGATGATGTGTTTGGTCAAAGGCCATGGGTGAAGATTCATGTCAGAAACATCGTGAAGGTGGAAAAAGGATCAAAATATTTTCAGCTAATTTTCTTCGTTTATCGTCTAGTTATGAAAATGGAATTTGTTAAGTGAAAACTGTTACCTTGGATGGAGAGACAAACTTAAAGGTAAAAAAAGATTTATCCTCTGGATCATGCTCAGATTCTCCTCATGGTTCAAAGCTTAGAATTCAGCATGTCTATGGAGTTGTTGTATTCATTGGTCATGAGTCATGACAACAAAGTTATGCAAAATTCTACCGAATCTCCTTCGAAAAGGAGTGGGATAGAACTACAAATGTACAAAAATAATTTATATCCCCTTCTCCCCTCCTTGTCGTGATATCGTTTATCAGTGGCTTTAGTTCTGTAAAAGAACTCAATCAACTATCTTTATACGTGANGTCCGGTCTAGCCTCGTCACTACTTCGCCGGGGTTAGGCCAGGCACTTACCAGCACATGGGGTCGGTTGTGCTGATGCTACACTCTGTGCATCTTTTTGCACAGATCACGGTGCCGGAGCAGCTTTTGGACAGCAGTAGGAGTTTTGGGAGCTGACTTCAGTCCAGAGATCCCGAGGTAGCCTTGCTGGCGTCCGCATGGCCCGAAGTCTCTTCTATCTTTACTTTAGCTTGTTATCCCTTGTACCGGAACAAACAGAATTATGTTTTTATCCAGACATTGTATTTAGCATTCTCTAGACGTTCGTGAGTTTGTGACTCAAGTTCTTGGGTAGAATTGTATTGAACTTCCGCGTTGCTATCAGTTTATTTATATTTAAGACTTCCGCTTTTCTATTAAATGTTTCGTTGTTTTATTAATGTCGAGGTTTGCTAAAAGAGGTAACAAATAATATGCTTGCCTAGCTCCTAATAGTAGGCGCCATCACGACTCTCGAGGGTGGGGAAATCCGGGTCGTGACAAGCTGATATCAGAGCGCTTGGTTACATAGGTCTCACAACTCACGGACAAACTCGGTAGAGTCTGAGGGATCGGTGCGGAGACGTCTGTATTTATCCCAGAGGCTACGAGTTAGGAAACCCTCACTTTTGTTCTTTCTTGTCGTGCGATTCTGTTTCTCAAATACTGATTATCTTTCTACTCTGTTCTTTCGCAGATAGCGAGTATACGTGCTTCCTCTTCTACCGCGCAGCAGCCCGAGCCCCCAGCAGCAGCTCCTATGAGGGGCAGAGGGCGAGGCCGAGGCCGTGCCAGAGGCCGAGGCCGGGGCAGAGCTCAGCCCCGAGCAGCAGTCCCAGAGGTGGAGCCTCATGTTGATTATGATGAGGAGGTTCCAGCCCTAGCAGCTCCGGTGGGCCCAGCTCAGGTCCCAGAGGGGTTTATAGCCACCCCAGTTCTTCAGGACTTTTTGGTCAGGTTGGTAGGCTTTTTGGAGAGCGTCTCTCTAGCGGGTTTGATTCCAGCAGCACCAGCCACTTCTCAGGCTGGAGGAGGAGTTCAGACTTCTGCTACACGTACTCCGTAGCAGGTAGCTCTCCAGGCTCAGGTTCCAGCGGTTCAGCCAGCTGTGGCAGTTCAGCCGGGTATTGTGACTCAGACCGGCGATGGAGCGGCTATGTCCGCAGATGCTTTGTGGAGGCTGGATAGATTCACCAAGCTCTTCACCACCACATTCAGCGGTGCTTCTTCAGAGGACCCCCAGGATTTCTTATACAGCTGCCATGAGGTTCTTCGGACTATGGGTATTGTGGAGACCAATGGGGTCGACTTCGCCACCTTTCGACTAGCAGGATCCGCCAAGACTTGGTGGAGGGACTATTGTTTAGCCAGACCAGCAGGGTCGTCATCTCTGACTTGGGACCAGTTTGCAGAGTTGTTCTTGGAGAAGTTTCTCCCTGTTACTCAGCGAGATGCTCTTCGCAGGTAGTTTGAGCGCCTTCAGCAGGGCTCTATGACAGTCACACAGTATGAGACTCGGTTTATTGATCTAGCTCGCCATGTTATTGTTATACTCCCCACCGAGAGAGAGAGGGTGCGGAGGTTTATTGATGGTTTGATTCAGTCGATCCGTCTCCAGATGGCTATGGGAGCCGGGAGTGAGATTTCTTTTCAGGAGGCGGCCAATGCGGCCCGTAGAGTTGAGATGGCTCTTGCACAGGGAGGTGGTCATGGGTCAGATAAGAGGCCCCGTCATGCAGGTAGATTCAGTGGTACCTCGTCCGGAGGTAGAGATTCTTATGGTAGAGGCCATCCTCCGAGGCCCTTTTAGTCAGCCCTACAGGTCTCACATGGTACTTTAGGTGGTCGTGGTTCTCAGCCGCATTATTCTGACCAGCAACTCTTCAGTTCACCATCAGCACCTATCAACGCACCACCACTCCGTTATTCTCAGCAGCCGAGGGCTTGTTTCATGTGTGGCGACACGCGGCACATTGCCAGGTATTGCCCTCGAGCTTCGGACAGCTCTTAGCAGTAGGGTCCTCGTCCCATGATTCAGGCACCGGGTGATCCACAGGCCGCCTAGCCAGCTAGAGGCGGGGGTAGAGGTCATAGAGGTGGAGGTAGAGATCATAGAGGTAGAGCTCGGACCGCCAGAGGTAGAGGCCAGCCAGCAGCCGATCGTCCCAGAGATATGATTCAGGGAGGTGGGGCCCAGCCCCGGTGTTATGCTCTTCCAGCCAGGCCTGAGGCTGAGTCTTCAAATGCAGTCATTACAGGTACTATTCTGGTCTGTGATAGTGATGCTTCAGTGCTATTTGACCCTGGGTCTACGTATTCGTATGTGTCATCCTATTTTGCACCCTACCTGGTTATGCCTAGTGATGCTTTGGGTATTCCTGTTTATGTATCTACACCGGTGGGTGATTCTATAGTGGTCGACCGAGTTCATCGTTCCTGTGTGGTAGTGTTTGAGGGTCTTGAGACCCGTGTTGATTTATTGCTCTTAGACATGGTGGATTTTGACGTTATATTACAGATGGATTAGTTGTCCCCGTATCATGCTATCTTAGATTGTCACGCAAAGACCGTGACCTTGGCCTTGCCAGATTTGCCCCGTTTGGAGTGGAGAGGGACCCACGGNTCATTAACCGGTGTTGAAATGTCAACTTTCCTACTCTCCAATGGGTGTTGTTTATGTTTAAGACAAATTGAAAAGGTCAGATGAGATCACCCTCCTGCCTCAAGGCTTCTGTATTCAACTTAGCTTTTTCTTTAAAACCACAAATTCTAGGTGAGTTACATGAGGGAAAATAAACAAAATCTAATACTTGAGCACTCAGTAGCCAGCTCGGTATCATTTGTATATCTAACAATTTCCAGTGGGAAGTGTAGTTAACCGAACAAGGAATTATTAAATAGGGCAAAAAAAAAAAGATAGGTTGAATGTACAAACAAATGGTAAGAATAGACATTGATGGTAAACATAGCATTTCTCATTTAAGGTATAAAATCCCAACATGAAGCATAAAAGAAACATATCCCAGACAGATAGCAAAACAACATTTTCATTACCATACCTTGTATAAGCTACTACCTTGTAAATTAAATAGTTTCCTAAAAGAACTTACTACTATTTTACTTTTTTTTCACTCCTATAAACGTAGTGCTTTATTCCTGTGTGTCAATGTCTCTACATTATCTGCACTAATTTATAAACGTAGTGCTTTATTATTCACAAACATAACACGATATCATCTACTTCCCCGTCCCAATTTTATATTGACCCATTTTCTCTTTGAAGCATCCCGAGATGTTAAATTGCTGGTATATGCTATTGACTGCTCTTACAACTTAAGTTATGGTGAATGAAAGATGCTTATTCCTATTGTCTGTCACTTAAAATCAAAAGTTCAGCATATTACTAAGTACACAACACAAGATTATAAAATATCAATGAGCAATCTGTTCCACACCAGTAGACTTGATTATTCAGCAAATCAATTGCTTTGAATTAATAATGATAATTATAATCTTAATTGATAAAACCTAAAGACAGGTACTAGAGAGATTATCCACAATAGAGATCAATGTCAAACTTGATACACCCTAGGAAGCCTTCAATGGAAAGCAGATTGCTGATGTGAAATGGACGAGAAAATGACAAAAATAATCCCTTATCTTTGACAGTAGGATTATAATGGTCCTTTAAATATACTCTTACCGGTTTTAGTCCTTTAAATTTAACAAAACTTAACAATTTTAATCTCCGTCCATTTCTTAACAAACCCACAAATTAAATATAACAGCCAACAAACAGCCTTTCCCCAACTGATTTCTCTTGTCCACTTACTTTCCCAATTCCCTCTTTACAAAAACAAAAACAAATAAAACAAAGCTCAATCTGGAAAAAGCTCGTTTACACAAGGAAGATGATGTGTTTGGTCAAAGTCCATGGGTGAAGATTCATGTCAGAAACATCGTGAAGGTGGAAAAAGGATCAAAATATTTTCAGCTAATTTTCTTCGTTTATCGTCTAGTTATGAAAATGGAATTTGTTAAGTGAAAACTGTTACCTTGGATGGAGAGACAAACTTAAAGGTAAAAAAAGATTTATCCTCTGGATCATGCTCAGATTCTCCTCATGGTTCAAAGCTTAGAATTCAGCATGTCTATGGAGTTGTTGTATTCATTGGTCATGAGTCATGACAACAAAGTTATGCAAAATTCTACCGAATCTCCTTCGAAAAGGAGTGGGATAGAACTACAAATGTACAAAAATAATTTATATCCCCTTCTCCCCTCCTTGTCGTGATATCGTTTATCAGCGGCTTTAGTTCTGTAAAAGAACTCAATCAACTATCTTTATACGTGAGGAGGAAGCACGAAGAGAGAAATAAGTTTTTTTTTTTGGGGGTTGGTGGGGGGGGGGGGGGGGAGATTTCTCTAAGTTTTGAGGGTCAGTTGATGCTGGCCGTTAAAATTAACCTGTGAATTTGTTAAAAAAATGGACGGAGACTAAAATTGTTAAGCTTTGTCAAATTTAAAGGACTAAAACCGGCAAGAGTATATTTAAAGGACCATTATAAACCTACCGCCAAAGATAAGGGACTATTTTTGTAATTTTCTCTGAAATGGACACTATCTAACAACTTTCAAGTCAAGTAGTCGTCTATAATGGAATTTAGTGCTAGAGTTCACAACTTTTGAAAAGAAAAATCTGTCATTTAATACATCTAACAACATCGTACAAAGAAAATAGATATCAGGAACTCACACTCTCCGCGGTGATCCCTGATGATGAAAGCATGAAACGTATATAGTGCTTGATTCATGGAGCCCAACTGCATACCGTTTAATGGTAGTCATGTACTTCCTGAGAGCCAACTCAACTTCCTCTTTTACCTGTAAGCTCAAGATAAAATGTATTCATCTCCCTATGAGCCTAATTAAGACAGTTAAAGAAAACC